CCACAGCAACCACTTACCATCAGGTGGACTGAGTGCTTGTTTGTCACCCTGATCCTATAAAAAATATCTCAAAGTCAGTTATTCCATACAAAATTTCGTACAAACTTGCTCAAAATGTATGGAAGACCTGATTTTTCTTGCGATTTGGAAGATAGATCTATAGTAAAAGTTGTTCATATTGACGCGTAGAATAGAAAGCACTATTTTGATTACAACATATATATATATATATATAACTATTTTTTTAAATCATTTGTGAATAATTAGTTAGACATGTAAATAAAAAAATTAAACTGATAAAAAGGAAGCCTTTTCATTTATATGTCATTTATTCAGAAGAAAAAGCTATACATAATATACACAAATATATTGATACATTCGTTATTAATAAACTATTCATTTTTAAGTATTTCTGGAATACATTCATAACTATGAACTTAACTACTAAGCCATAGCATAAAATAAATTTTCCCATTAATCGGGTAATAGTTAAGCTGCTGGCATATACAATTTTTCACGCACACTAGCATCATGCAAATTGTCTTATACACACTACAATATTAAGATGCCTTGTTCATGGAGCTATTACTTGCAGGGAGCGCGGTATATAGTCAGAGCGCGCGATGACTTATCATTAATCTATGGTAAATACCAAATAAATTATTAATAAACCTTTAATAAAACGTACTCCTGCAGACTCTAAGGCGCTTCACAAACGTGGACGCTTATTGTTACCGACACGGCACACCATCTCAGGAAACCGTAGCTGCTGTATCCGCTAGCGGAAATCGGACACGGGTCTTTTGTAAGCTTTCTTCGCCTTTTTCTTTAATAGCTTCTTTTAAATGATCTAGTAAAGAAACGTAGTATTCTCCCGTTATGGAAACACCACGTTCCTTATAATCAATCAAAATGATACCTCTTGTATCCCAAAAGATCGTCGCCATGATCTTTCCGACTGATTTAGACACCTTATATACTTCTTAGGAGGGGGTTTGCCTTTTTTATGCCATTGCAACGACTCTTGATTTGACTCAGGTTCATAATGGTGAACCCAAGTTTCATCCCCAGTTACAATTGGGGCCATAACTTCCTCCCTTTACTCTCCACAGCGGTCCAAAAACTGGCGACAACTTTCGACGCGCTCGTGTTTATGATGCGCAGAAAGCATTCGCGGAACCCATCTTGCACAGACTAGTCATGCCAAGGTGTTGATGTTTAAAATGGTTGTTTCTGATACTCTAACTAATGCTGCAAGCTGTTTTGTTTTAGCCGCTTTCGTCGTTTTTTTTAAAAAGTTTTTCAATTTTTTCTGGCGTGGTAGCCTTAATCGGCCGTCCAGATCGGGGGTCGTCTTCAATGGAATCCCTCCCTTGTTTGAAAAGGGCGTGTCATTTATGTATAAATCATGGTTTTCCCAGAAGCGGAGTCCCCATAAACTGCTGACATCCCTTGCAAAATGGTTTGAGGTGTCTTTCCTTGTTTGGTGGAACTTAATGACGGCGCGATATTCTATTTTCTCCATAGTGACTAGATTCTTCCCGATTGTAACTCAAAAGCTAATGATCCGATTAGGCTGAAACTTGGTATATTTACTAGCAATGAGTCACTCAACTAGCGCCTACCTGGATGAGTAAACTCAGTCTCGCCAACCCTGCCATTTCACGAACTTTTTGACCTCCCCTCGTATGTGTCAAGTTGAAGTATTAGCTGAACACAAAAAGTGTCTGCGTCTGCGCAATGAATGAATTTCATTTTGATTACATGAAAATAAAATATTTATTGGTAGCTTGTATCCCACACAAGATACAAAAGTGTCTGGGTTTGTGCAGCGACTAAGGCAAAAAATAAAATAATAATATTCACATAATAACTTCTGCAGTTGGACATATTGTATCGAAGTATTTAAGTCTCGACTTCATTTGTTATTATGTGAAAATTATGGGTATAGTATTTCTTAGCCGACTTCGAAAAAAGGAGGAGGTTCTCAATTCGACTTTATTTTTTTTGTATGTGTTAACTCAGAACTTTTTTCTAGGTGAACCGATTTTGATGATGATTCATATAAATTTGATTAAGATCTGACAAGTAGTTTTTGATTTATCCTTAATAATGCGTATTGAGTTGACTTCGATGATGTTCTTCATTTTATTTTAGAACTAGCTATTCCCCGCTACTTCACCCGCCTGTAATTTAGTTTATTCGGCGGAACCCTAATTCTTTTTCTAAAATATAAGTAGCCTAAGTTACTCCTTATAATATCAGCTATCTGCCAATGAAAGTCCCATCAAAATTGGTCCAGTCGTTTCGGACATTAGCTGAAATAGACAGACAGACAGACAAAAAAATTAAAAATTGTGTTTTTGCTATAAGTACCGTATATGCTTTCATATGCATTTAGTAATAAGCTGTTATTTAGACATTACAAACAGACACTTCGGGTGTACAAAATTTTTAATTTTACCACTTGTTAGTTTTGAAGTCGATTTGTAAGTATTATTAAAAGTTAAATTGCTTAATCCTTTTGAGTTGTCTAAAGAATATCACAAGTTCAAGGTAACTAAAGATTTATTCGTATTTCTCAGAAGTGATAACACACCTATGAATTTGAAGTAAATTGAAGACGTCTTTGTCTGTCAGTAGCACCTTAAGGCAATCAGACAATCTACAATCAATTGAGGCATCTACACCTTAGTAGTACTTATGGCGTGATCGCGGAGCAGGAAGAATTTCAAATTATTGCAATTCATACAAATGTGAACTTTTAATAACTTGAGAATAAAATCGGTTTTCGAATTACAAATACTATTCAAAAGGTACTAAAACTATCTTAGTTGCAATTAGGGCATCGAGAACCGGCCCCTTTCCAGAAACCGGTTCTTTCGATTCCAAACTTTTGCCAGAACCGGGTACCCGGTTCTTCCGGTTCTTTTAGGTTGGAGGCTACTTTCGTTCAATGTGAATAACGATGTTATAGTCATATTCATAAAGAAAACAGTTTATTGCAAATCTTAGGTATTATTTATTATTTGTAAAGTCTTTTCAAGTCTTTTAGTAACAATAATTTCTAAGTCATAATGGAATACTAAGTTAATGCTTAATTTGTCTAAATATTATAAAAGTTATTTTTATTTGGTAAACATAAAGTATTTTTAAAAGTAATTATTCAAGCAATGCTTGCAGTAGTTTCTTTCTCATTAAAAATAAAACGAATCAAACATCTCAGTAACTAGGAACATTAATTTTTCAATTGCTCGTAAACAGTTACTTAACATTACTTAAATTTTAATATCAATCAACATACAAATAAAACAAATCAAACATCTCACTAACTAGGAACAAGTACTTTACAATTGCACGTAAACAGTTATTTTAAATCAAAATTAACATAGAAATAATATAGAATAGAAATTCTTTTCTATTATAACAATACAATATTCTATTATAGAATATACTTTACGAATACTGTTATTATAACAAAATATAAATCAGCTCACTTATAAAAAAAAAAGTTTTAATTAAACGTTACTTCTTAATTTTGCTTAAATAAAAAGAACGCAGAAAAATTAATGCATCCAAAGTTTTGTCACTCAAAGATGAGCGCAGCCTATTGCAGACTATGCCGGCTGAAGAAAATATACGCTCCGGCTCTACACTGGTGGGCGAAATAGTTTTTAAATGTTCATAAACTAACGATAAATAGTACCCTCGTTGTCTTTGCCCACCATTTTCAAATAGAGCCATTTCAACTCTCACAGTAGTCATTAAGTCATTGTCTTGATCTGTCGATTCAGTAGCAGTATTAACAGCTTCAGATAACTCTCTATTAAGTTCCTCTTCATTTGTTAGGGGGGATTTATGTAATTTAACCTGCAGATCTTGACTTCTAATAGCTGGCGTTTCTTCAAGGGATACTTTTTGTCTAGCGTTTGTACGATGCAGTAGCTTTACAATTTCATGTAACATTTCATCACTAGTAGGCCGGGAAAAGATAGTTGCATCTTCGCCCATACTTGCAAAACATCTGTCAGGATTGGTCAAGTATCGCAGTATTGATGCCTGGATTAGTCGTCGTTTTTTGTATTGTTTTAGCAATGCAGTGACCATTTTATTACTAAGATGAGTATTCATTGCCATTAATTTTCTTATAGCAAATTTTAAAGAAACATCGGCTGTAATCAATGTTGCATCGCGACGGGATAGAGCTTCTACGATAGTTTTAATAACATCCAACATATTATTTAACTCTTCCATATTTGTCCAGTCTTCATCAGTAAATACAATATCAGATTTTAAATCAATCAATGCTTTTGTGATAGACGTTTTTAGCTTCAGAAAACGGCTTAACATCGCAGCTATGCTACTCCAGCGTGTCTTTACATCTAAAACCAAACAATATTCTTGTCCAAAATCAGCTACGGTATGCTTTTGAAGAATTTCGTCACTTTTAGTGGGGGAACCCTTGAAAATTTTTACCACTTTCCGGACCTTAGTTAAAATATCATGGTATTGGAATGAATGAGATGGTATAGATTCTAAAAGTCATCATCATCATTACAGCCCTTCACAAGTCCACTGCTGAACATAGGCCTCCCCCAAAGAATGCCACAAAGCACGGTCCTGAGCCACCTGCATCCATCGACTTCCTGCAAATCTTACCAGGTCGTCACTCCATCTAGTGGGGGGACGCCCTACACTTCGCCTGCCGGTACGAGGCTGCCACTCGAGAACCTTTCTTCCCCATCGGTTGTCGGTTCTTCGAGCTATATGGCCGGCCCATTGCCACTTCAGCTTACTAATCCGTTGGGCTATGTCGGTCACTCTGGTTCTACTGCGGATATCCTCATTTCTGAGTTTATCACGCAGAGAAACTCCGAGCATAGCCCTCTCCATAGCTCGCTGAGCGACCTTGAGCTTCCTCATCCGGCCAGTAGTGAAGGACCACGTCTCAGTTCCGTATGTCATCACTGGCAACACGCACTGGGTGTACAGTCTCGTTTTCAAGTTTTGAGGTATACCAGGTATACCTCAAAACTTGATTCTAAAAGTATTGACTCGTTATTGAATTCAACACCATCTTCGTCATTTTCTGCTGTTGGATCAGTCTCATCGTAAATTTCTCCAGCTTGCATTCTTAAAGCTAATTCTGATAGCGGCAAATTGTCATCGTCGTCCTCGTATACTTCAGGCAACTGCTCTTGTTCCAACTGCAGCGGTTCTGGATCTGTGTCTTCATCAAATTCTTTGTTACGTTTATACAGAACATCCACGATTGCTAGCTGAATTGCGTGAGCAATACACAACTGATGGTAGGACTTAATATATCTCCCAAATGCGACCATAAGACTACAACCATCTGTTGTTTGAGCGACAATGTCGTGTGTTAAAGATATGCCGAATTCATTTAACTTGGACTCAATTAGTTTTACGCATTTTGCTGCATTCATAGATCCAAAAATCCTTATAAGTCCAATATTTCGAAAAGTGTTCTCTTTAGCGAAATTAGGTGAATGCAAAGTAAGCCCTATATATCTTCTATTATGATTGGATGTCCACTCATCGAACGATATAGAAAACTTTTTTTCATCTAATAAAATTGCTTTTATCTCATTAGATACTTCTGCCTTCCTTTTTTCACATTCTTTGAGAATCATATTTCGAATGGTGTCAGCTGTCGTCGGTAATTCCATGCCACTCTTATTAAAAAGATATTTTAAATCTTGCGATTTTGCAAACGTTCTTAAAGGAATTCCATCTATCGAAGCCATACGAGACACCATCACCTGCATACTTGGATTCGCATAACTTTCATAGAAATCAGTCAATTTAGTAATCTTATTAGGTACTTCGTGATATTCTTTCGAAGTTGATTCATTGTTTTGTGTTAAAATTGCGGGAGCTGTGACCGTTGCAGTCCCTAAATTTATTTTGTGAATATTTTTCAGATGTTTTTCTAGACTACTGGTACTGCCACCGGCTGATTTTAATATTTTTTGGCATAATTTACATTTTGCTTCACTTTTATTCTTGTTTCTCAAAAAGTGATGCCAAACAGAGGATTTGCCTCCCACCCTATCAATAACTTCTTCAAAATCCATTATTCATTGATTTAATGCGAAGCCAAAAAAGAGTAGGTGTATCTGAAAAGCAATAAAGTTAAACAGTTTAGTAGCCAATATAGAATAAAATTATTAATAAATTACCAATATTATATATATATTACTCATTATTTTACATTATTTATACACTAACCTTATAACTAACTACATTTTAATTTTATTTAACCAGCCGTTTCTTTCGAAAGAGTAGTCTCACCAAAAATATAGAATTACTATTAATTTTCATTAAGTACTTATACATATAACTTAATTAGAAAACAAGTATTAAAAGTACGGATTACATACATCGCAATGCATAGTACATAACGCCGACACAATTGTAAGTTTTATTTTTATGAACAAGTTGTTCGTTTGCGATTCACGTTTGTAAACAATATAATAATAAATTGTAATAATTGTTACCTCAACTAAAAATGCATTGTTTTTAGTACTCACCTATTCCTTATTTTACTATGACATCAACAAAACACACCGACGCACTATATCGCTTGAGAAAGACTAAATAAAATGGCGGGCGGTAGTGATCGACGACGCAACGTGGATTTTCCCTTCCCCCTCGTAGATTGAGGATTGACTAGATAAAGCATTCGCGTATGCTTTTGAGATAGAAATAGGCGGGAGGTACTTTCACTGGGTTACCAGATATTGTTCCATTTCCCCTTTATGGGTTTATTTACATTCACAGCACTTACATTCACACAAAAAACTTAATTGTTACCATAAAAAAATGTTTTATAATTCAGATGATTAATTCATTTCACTTGAAAATACATTCTGTGACTAAAAACTAATGGGCGGAAACGGCGTAAAAACAGAATCATCATTCTGTATTCAACGGCGAAACGACGACTTTACTGGACATTCAATAAACTCTTTGGATTTCGACGGCACTAAGTGAAGACGCTACTATCACAAAGTGTGATATTGCTAATAAATAACAATATGTTATGTATGTACTTAAATATTAATTAAGAATACAAATATTTAATAATAAACAAAAATTTCCTCGTGTCGAGTTTTGTTTTTACAAAAAAAAAAATCAATAATGTTTTAACATACCATTCCATCACAAGTTCAGTGCTAAACACAGACCACCGAAAGGAAAGGCTTTCCACTTAGGTTTTGTAGTACAAAACACGGTAAAGAAGCTACTCCCGCGATTTCCTGCATGTTTTGCTAAGTTAGTGTCTTGTGTGCGGCAAGTTGTGGCGTACAAGATAATTTGTCTGTACACGGAATGATATTACTCCGCGTCGTAAGCAATAATACAAGATGGGGATGGGGCAGCAGCACTTTCCCGATGAAAACTTGAAATAATAAATAACTGCGGTGGCCAACCAGCATAACGCATATTTTCACGCAGGCGTGGCAACTATGGTAAAAGTCATTATATGAGGATATCTAGGGAAGGACTTTTTTAGGTGACTTACTTATGGTTAGGTGGCTTAATCATGTTACCTAATGGTTAAGGTGGTAAAATGTTTTAGATAATATACGTTGTAAAGCATCAACAAAGGGTTTGTTTTTATTTTTTTTTTTTAATGTTGGTATATAAAATAAAAGCGAATGTTTTATAATATTCTGTTTGAATTTACCATGCCGTGTAAGATTATCTGCTACCTCATATCATTCCATGGGTGGTGTATGAGGCGACATAGGGAAACATCAAAGAAGATAAACAGCAGCATCTTCCTGATAACAGCTAAATAAAAAAAACAGTGGTTGACAACCCGCTTTCAAAGCGTTGAAACTATGTCAAATAACTATAATCATGTTTATGTTCAACAGTAGATTTTTGATAGACTGTAAAGATATATATTCTATTCAAATGAATATATATAGAAATATAAAAAGGAAAAGGAACTAAATTTTGTGTACTTACACAACATTTAGAAATATTAACAATGTTACATTAATTAAAACAAATGAAAACACAATTATATATTAAATATAATTCAATAACATTAAAATAAACATACGATTATTTATTAATTTTTCATAACATTAATAAACAAATTTAACAAAATTTTTGTCTTCTTTCTAGAGCATTCCCTGTAATTCTTGGTTTGAGTAGCTTTAGAATTTCTCAAAAATATGCATTTGTAAACTTGATTTATACTTTGCATGGCAGAAATTCTTGGGTGCTGGTTGTTAGAATCGGATTAGAAGGGTATATATATATATATATATATATATATATATATATATATATATATATATATATATATATATATATATATTATGCCTTGTATATAATACATTTTAATGGTATAAATAATAAGGTACAACTCCTAAATTATACTTAGACAGGTAATACTTATCTCTTGTGAAAAAGATCTTTATTACATTATTTATGACAAATTGAAATTATCATAATTATTACATTTATTTCTTAATTTATTTACACATTATTGTTTACAACACCTGTATAAAAGGGATTAAGGGTGGACTAAATGTCCCATTGGTAGGCATTCCCAGTCAGTTTTACAATTATTATTGCATTATAAATTATTCATTTGTATATTTAGGTCAGGACTTTAAATTATTTATTTATTTCTTTTAATTTGCATAAAACATCTACCATGTTTTATGCAAATAAAGATAAAGTTCCAACATTTGTAGATGAGGACTCATGTTTAATCAATCCATCTATAAGTAAATATTTTGTCATTGTCATTCAACCAAATTATTACAACTCTTAATAATACAGAATATCAGCATTTGAAAATAAAATAAGCAATGCTAGTCAATTTTTAATACATACAGAACAATATCAAAAATCATAACAACTAACAAGGTCAAACTTATATCACTTATGGAGAAACAATAAGATACAACAATAAACTATAACATTTAAAAAAAATATCTTAATTATATTATAAATTACATAAGTTAAGTATATTTAGTCCACCTAAAACAATGAGGCTCATAAAGTTTTGAGCATATACTGCTAAGTTTTGTTGGTTATCTATAATTACTACCAGTAGCGATTATCCAACAGTTACGGATAGCTGATTCCTTAGAAAAGCTGTGAAAATATTTAAAAAAAATTAATATATTAAATATATAGTACACTTTTATATCAAGGCATTTAACAAAAAAGAATCAAGTATGGGTATCTGTGCATAAATACAATACCTATAACAATTAATACAATATCAATTGATTTAATTAAATAGCAAGTATATGTAAATGTAATGATAATATTACTCATACCAAACATTTTAAAAAATTATGTACATATTAAGCTTTAGATATTGTTAATTAATACATTTACAGCCTAACATAGTTATGTCCTCCACAGCTGAACATAGGCCTCCCACACAGTTTGTCTCCAAATAACTGCAGTTGCCAATTCTCCTGCCAAGCTAGGCAACTATCACAAAAACTATAACTTTTGACTTTTGATACTGACTAATGGTAACGGTAAGTATATTATCATCAAATTTTTTCTACATCATTAATTGAGAATATTATCTTATGTTTTTGTGTTATTGTGTACCTTAAGATTAAGACTTATTTATTTATTTATTATTTTATCTATGTTTATATTTATTTTTATATTAGTATGACATATTTATTTATTTTTTTAATAAATATTGTAATGTAATTGTTGCTAATGTATAATAGAATGAATGGAATGCAATAAAGTTTTGTGCATCTGATTTCAGGCAATACATATTTTGTGAAATTAAATATACTTTGCCCAATGTTTATGTACTTGAATCCAAACATGTTTTCAGGTTGATACTTACATAATATTATTTGTGACGTCTATGTAATATGGAAAATGATTGAAGAGTTGTAGGGCAATAAGGAGTTTCCTTTAAAGCTGAACATAAAAGTGTATGTATATGTATAACATTATGTGATTCATATTTATGGACATAACTACTAATCACAATAACAATTATTATGCAACAATGCGAAAACATTATTGTACTCGCTGATATCCCTAAAGTTTCTATAATCCTACCAAATCAAAAAGTACACGTTTGTTATGACTTTAAGCTTTCGAATGACCGTTCAAATTAAGGAGCATTATCATGAAGAATTTACAATTTGGGAGTCCAAATATTTGACAAAATACAACACAAAGTTCATTAAACACATGAAATGTTACACTTTATATTCAAAACAATAGATATTAATCAGTACAAGTAGCAAATGTAAGCACAAAACAAACTTACCGATGAAAGGTAATATTATCAATTTTTCGTTGACTGATGCTGTTGCATCCTAAAATGCTACAACTTACCATCTTTTTAACCTTACCTTATAACTAAAACCCACAAACAACACTAAATTCAATTACCTGTTTGCTTATAATATCAATATTATTCACAAGAGCTTGACATCGTTAATGTCAAATAAAGGAGGGAAAACAATCAAAAACGCATACCTAGAAAAAGACAAGAAATATAGATTTGCTTCTCCCTTACTCTTATGTCTAACTATATACGTGCATTCCTTTCACATTCTGATGACGTCACGGAATGTTTAGTCTATAAGATACAAAGTCTATGTTCCCCCTTCACTCCTTCATAATCCCCGCGTCTTCGCTTTGAGCCTAGAGTAAAACCAACGAATCGAGCGAGACAAAGATTTTGGCGCCAAATTAAAAAAATGTAATATAGATATTGATCACTGATTGTTTTATCAAACTATATTGATAAAAATAAAACAATAATTCAAAAAAATTAAATAAAATATCATTACAAAATTGTTTGCCATAAATAGCAGAAATGATAAATATCACGTTTTTTATAACACTACATTGCAGTGATATACTTTTTATAAAATTTTGTAAAGCTACTGAAGGAACCGAAGGAATCGAAAATAACCGGTTTTAAATTTTCGGAACCGGTTCTTTTCGTGACCCCCGAAAACCGGGAATTCCCGGTTCTTTTAGAACCGGGAAAAACCGGTTCCGATGCCCTAGTTGCAATAGAAATAAAACTTTTAATGATGGGAATTAAGTTCAAAAAACCATAAAAAATTCCTTCTCCGCGACCGTGCTTTATTCGGAGTGTATCAGATGAAGTTATGAAATTGAAAGAGAAGGCCAAATTGGTCTCTAAAAAGCTTAGCGTGCTCAGCAGAGCGGGACAGTATTTCATGCCGGCACACCGCCTGCAACTTTACAAGGCGCAGGTTCGGCCTCACATGGAATACTGTTCCCATCTCTAGGCAGGGGCTCCCCAGTGCCAGCTCCTTCCACTTGACCGCATCCAGCGCAGAGCGGTTCGAATCGTCGACGACCGAGTTCTTTCCGATCGGCTTGACTCACTGGCACTGTGTAGAGATGTTGCATCTCTTTGCGTATTTTATCGCATGTACCACGGAGAGTGCTCTGAGAAATTGTTCGGACTAATTCCAGCCGCTCAATTTCACCATCGCACATCGCGACAAAACTCGTGATACCATCCATCCGTGCGATTTAGAAGATGTTTTCTTCCTCGCACAACTTCCTTGTGGAATCGATTACCATCAGCTATTTTTCCGGACCGATACGACTTAGGGACCTTCAAGAAAAGAGCCTACTCCTATTTAAAAGGCCGGCAACACATGTGCAATTCCCCTGGTGTTGCAGTTGTTCATGGGCGGCGGTAGTCACTTACCATCAGGTGAACCGCATGCTCGTTTGCAGGGGCACTGTCTCCTATAAAAAATGTTTTTATTATTTGTAGTTATAATGTAATAAAGCTATAATGATGTTTTTTCTTTCTTTCTAGGGAAACATTGAAACTAAGAGTGAAGCAACTGGACAAAAGTATGTTCTTGACGCGCTTGTTTAGAAAATACACGAGGCGTCTACACATCTACATTGACTGCAGCGAAGCAGAGCTTGAGGATTTTATTAACTATGTACTGCCTCAGTGAGTATAAACAATCAAGCTATCTAAAATGTAAATGGCTGTATCATCGAAGGCTAACGAACGTGCGGTAGCCAACGCCCATTTTCTTAACGTTCGTTGGGCTAATCCGTACGCAGCATAATGGGAGAAGCAAAACCCGGGGATTTACTTGAGTAAACTAGGAAACTCGCAGGAAGTTATTTATTTTTGTGCATTCTCTTATGTCGGTCTTCCAAGTCACAAATCTCAAAAATAGAACGAGAAATAATTCCGTTATGGATATTCTAGAAATATTAAAAGAAGAAGAAAAATAGACTGTCCATAGCTTCTGTTAGGGCTCTACTGTTGACACAGTTCAATCTGAAGAACACATCATGTGAAGAGTTTCATAAAATTGTTATGAAAGACCAGCACCTGCTGAAAGCTATATCCAGCAGTGAAAAGCACGAGGATCAGATGAATAATTAATCAATTAATTATTCATCTGATCCTCGTTAATTATTAGATTTCGTTCTTTGGTTACTAGTAGTTCATAATTTGATTTTATTATAATATAATTTCTTATATATTTCTCGTTTCTTAAAATTCCTGACAATTTCCAATTTTCCCTGTTTCCCTGACAGACAGCTAAAATTCCGGACATGTCAGGAAAATTCCTGTCATCTGGTAACTCTATATTAAAGTCCACTACTGAACATATCCATAGATTGCCTGCCTTGGGGATATTTGCCACGCTTGGCAAGTGAGTTGGCAACCGCAGTTTTCTATTTTAGTCGTTATTAGGAAGACGTTGAAGCCCATCTCCTGATTTGTTTTGTGTCGCCTCTTACGACACCCATCGGACAATATCGGGTCTATGTATATATCGTTATTTAATACGCACGCTATCGTATTACACGCTATTTCTGTTACATAACCGCGGTGCTTCGACACAAAGGCATTGATTAAACACGTAGCAATGATAAGACGTTATTGTTATATTAGATTGCTATAACTATTTCACGTAATAAGTAAGAAGACTCGTTGTCTGCTTAGGAATTTGCTGCATTCGTCTTCTTTGATACTACGAGTAGGTACTCTATTTCTATCAATCAGCAGTAGAGTTGCCTATCCTACTATACTAGGGGTCCAAATACTACAGTTCTAAAAAATATATAGTAAATCAATTTACGTTTACCATTTGCAATTTAAAGAATACCAAGCCTATTTGGGAATAAATAACAAATACGAATACAAAAACTTTATTTTGACATAAAAATATTACAATAAAATGTTACATTGAATCCATAGGCTCTCAAACTAGTGTAAAACTGTGTGTCAGGAGCCAGTGGCTTCTACCATAACATTGCACTTTTATTTTTTATGCCTTAACATAAGATACATTATAAGTTATATAGCTATATTATGGTTGTAGCACGAAATCAAGAATCAAAATGTAGATGCGTTGTCACCTCTGAGGACTAAGATGGAATGCCTCGTCTCCAGTAAAAAGGTTCTCCGGTGTTCTACACTCATCATAAAAAACATAGCAGTATTTTACGCTGGTATTGTGTGAGATCGTGGTCCTATACCGGTCGAGCCGACCCATTCGTGCTATAACCATAATATAGCTGCAGCGTGGCTCTACCACGTATAAAATGCAGTTTTTTTTTTATAGAATAAGGGTGACAAACGAGCATACAGTCCACCTGATGGTAAGTGGTTGCTGTGGCCCATAAACATCTACATCTATCTTCGTTTTCGAATTAAAATGCAAATGCGTTGTCAGCCGTGAGGACCAAGATAGAATGCCTTTTTTCTAGTAAAAAGGGTTTCCGGGTCTCTACACTCACCATACGAAACACGGCTGTTATTTTACGCTGGTATTCTGTGAGAGCGTGGTCCTTCCCCGGTCGAGCCGACCCATTCGTGCTACTATCTCGTGGCTTTATCACGTAGTTGTTTATGGACGGCGGTAGTCAATTTCGAGCCGCATGCTCGTTTGCCACCTCTCATATTAAAAAAAGAAAAATATTTTTCAATAAAAAAATTAAATTGTTATTACCTAAATACACATTGCTCATGTGTCTGGAATGTTTGTGCACGTTATATTTTCGTTAGGGAAAGTCGATTTGAATTCTGTTTTGTACCGACGGACGATAAATAATTTGAAAGCAATGCTCTACATACATAATGAGATGGTACCTTCGCTTGTGTAGCACTGCTAGCAATATTGTTATATAACCTCGATATTTTCGAGCATTTGAGTGTTGAACGTCAATATAAGTAATCCTATTCAGGGATCTGTGTATGTATATTAGATTAAATATGCAATAATTGGGAAAGAACCACGATCGCACGATATACCAGCTGTAAGTTGCAGCTTAATGCTGCTGTGTTACGTATGGTGTGTGAAGAGAACCGCAGACAGTTAACTGGTATCAGTCATTTTATCTTAGTCCTCAGGGGTGACAACACATCTGCATTTAGATTGTCAATACACTTACTTACGAGTATCAGACTGACTGTGCTCGTTTGTAAGCCTGTAGGAAGAGCGCAGAATTAAACAGAATTAATACTCATTATTCCTATACAAAAATCCTCTACCAAGCATGACTAATATAAGCATGGTATATGCTATTGTTAGTTAAAACGTGGTAGAGCCATGCTGCAGTTATAATAATTGTATAGTTGTAGCACGAATGGATCGGTTCGACCGGGGAAGGAACACGCTCACGCAGAATACCAGAGTTAAATAGCAGCTTAATGCTGCTGTGTTTCGTATGGTGAGTGTAGAGAACCGTAGAGACTTTTTACTGGAAGCGAGGCATTCCTTCGTAGTCCTCACGGGTAACAACGCATCTGCATTTTGATTCGTAATCGAGGATAGATGTAGATGTTTATGGGCCATAGTAACCACTTACCATCAGGTGAACTGTGAGCTCATTTGTCACCCTAATTCTATAAAAAAAGACTGGTGGATAAATAGTTACGTGAACCACTAATCCCCCGTACAGGATAGGTATCATTGTTACCATGCATGACAATAGTATTTGCAACGCAGTAAGCGCCTGCCTAGTATATATGTTTATTATTGCTTCTAACAATACCTATTTCATTGAAATATTCTCATAAGCATTAAAATATTATAAAGATAATACATTCAATTAAAGTATCTTTTTATTTCTAGATTCTTCGACACGCAGAAGTTGATTGAAGTGATATTCATAGGTCCGAGCTATATAAAACAGAACCACCATGCACCACTGGTTAAATTAAAGAGGTAACCATTTATTTTCGTTATAAATAAAGATTTTTCTTAGATTTTTTTTGTTATAAATGGCATAATTGTAGGATTTTTTCATATATCGTGAAGGTGTTTTACAAACATATGTGGTAGAGCCACGCTGCAGCTATTTTAGTTGTAGCGGCTCGTCTCGACCGGGGAAGGACCACGCTCTCAGAGAATACCAGCGTAAAATAGCAGTTTAATGCTGCTGTGTTTCGTATGGTGAGTGTAGGGAACCGGAGACCCTTTTTACAGGTAACGGGACATTCCAACTTAGTCCTCAGGGGTGACAACGCATATGCATTTTGATTTTTATTGGAGAATAGATGGAGATGCCTTTGGACCACAGCATCCACTTACAATCAGGTGGCCAGGGTTCCCTCACGATGCTTCTCTTCACTGAGTACGTGGTAAATTAGTAAGCCACCAAATAGGAGTGCAAGCACTCTCTGTTCTGTTCCTACCCGAAAGATATGGTGAGCCAGTATTATTACAGACTGTTATGCATTCCATTTTAGTCCTCGTGTACTTATGTATAGCTTTCCTTTTTTTTTCGGCTGCAGCTGTCGCTGAGCTGCATGAGCCACTTACCATCAGGTGGACTGTAAGTTCGTTTGTCATTTTACTTTTATAGAAAAATACCAGCGCACGCCTCATAACGCAGGAGCGGGTGGGATTACTCTATTCTCGACATGCCGCTATGTGACGATTTTACAATATAATATTGTTAGTGTCGCGCGTATAGGCGCACGTATCGTACGGACAATTTATTTGAAAGTTATATATTATTCAATTTCAATGAATGTATTATCTTTTCGAAAAGGCTTTAGCACCATATACCACATACATACCCGTCGGCAAATGGTACAGAAGTCCGAAGAGTACAATTTGCCACTATCTCTGGCGTATGTGCACTATGAGAAAGCCTTTAACTCCGTCGAAATTGAGCGGTGATGCAGTCCTTTCAACGGTGCAAAGTTGACTGTCGGTATATCGAAGAGCTGAAGTGTTTGTACAGTAGGGCTACGATGGCTATCCGAGTACAGAACCAGAGTACGAAACCTATCCAATTGCAGAGAGGTGTAAGACAGGGTGACGTCATATCCCCGAAACTCTTCACCGCTGCATTGGAAGACGTTTTCAAGCTACTGGACTGGAAAGGATACGCTATTAACGTCAATGGCGAGTACATCACTCACCTTCGATTTGCCGACGATATAGTCCTTATGGCAGAATTGTGTCTCCCAACGGGTACGGATATGTAGGTCTTAAGATGAGCATGGACAAAACAAAAATCATGTGTAACGTTCATGTCATACCTATGCCGGTAGTTGTTGGGAACACTAAGCTCGAAGTTGTTGACGAGTATGTTTACCTGGGACAAATAGTCCGACTAGGTAAGTCCAACTACGGCCGAGAGGCCAGTCGACGGATTCAAATCGGTTGGGTAGCGTTCGGGAAATTACGGCATATTTTCTCGTCAGGTATACCTCAAAACTTAAAAACTAGACTCTACAACCAGTGCGTGTTGCCAGTGATGACCTATGGAACTGAAACGTGGCCCTTCACTGCTGGCCGTATGAGGAAATTCAAGGTCGCTCAGCGAGCTATAGAGAGGGCTATGCTCGGGGTTTCTCTGCGTGATAAACTTAGAAATGATACCCGCACTAGAACCAGAGTTACCGACGTAGCCCAAAGGATTAGTAAGCTGAAGTGGCAATGGTTCGGCCATATAGCTCGAAGAACCGGCAGCCTCGTACCGGCGGACGAAGTGTAGGGCGTCCCCCCACTAAATAGAGTGATGATCTGATAAGACATGCAGAAAGTTGATGGATGCAGGTGGCTTAGGACCGTGCTCTGTGGGCCTCCTTGGCGGAGGCCTATGTTCAGCAGTGGATTTGTGAAGGGCTGTATTGATGATGATGATTATCATTCCTAATTAAACTAAATAATTCTTCCAAATTGAAAATTATATTTTCACAATTATTTTCACGCGGCAGAAATGTACTGGGTACCAACTAGTCTTTATATAAATAATTATACTGTACGTGTGTTTGTCACTGAACTCTCCTCCTAAACAGTGGGACAGATTTTTGTGTTATTGAGTGGGTCCCTGGATGATTTGGGTTCATAATTGGACCCGGTAGGTGGTGATATTGATTAGATCCATAAATCTGCCGTGTGAAGCCGGGGTGGATCGCTTGTCTTTTGTATAAACTTTGAGTAGCGCTTATAAACATGTTTGTGTTTGCAGAAAAATAACAGAGAGCTTGCTGTTCAAACACCTCCACTGCATACAGAGGTTGGCGTTTATGGGTTGTGAGATGAGCACCGCAAAGAATGTCGAAAACGAGAAGTATACGGTAAATTACTTTCAACATTACAGCACAAATTATATGCACTCATGTTACATTCACATCTCTAGTGGTTATCAACCGAACTCAACATTTGATGTCGTGGGGCTAGCTTGTTATAATGTAATAGATATAATTTGCTATAATTTATATCAATACGCAAAAGAAAAGCTCATACCTACATATTAACTATACGTTTTATTCATTCACACACCCTCCTCACACTACACACACTATACTTACACTATATGGCTCAGCCACACTGGACTCCTCACGTTGCCGCGATGTTGCCTTCTCTGCCCACACACTGCTCTACTCGCGCCAATAATCGCAACGCTGGGACTTTTGGCTGGAACTTGAACGGTGGAGGATTGCTGCGCTTGTTATTGTTTAAATAATGGTTTGAAGTGGATTTTGATATGTAAAAGTGGTGCGTTTTTGTGTATTACGTGTCTTCGCATGTGAACTATTAGTGGAAACGGTGAAACAAGTGCGCTGATGGTGATGTGATTCTCAAGATAAGGTGTCTGTTTTCTTAGGCGCTTCGAGCTACCATCGCCAACTGTCAGCTATCTGCTGGCTCAAGTTGCCGTCAAAATCTCCCAAGGGCTGCACAATGTGACGCATCAACATATTATGAAGCAGTGTAATATGAAAGATAATATTATACATTGTAAATGTAACTTCAGACTCAGAAGGGCTAGAACCCAGAGCCGTAAAGCCAGTTATTAAAAAAAAAAGCAACGCTCCGCACAAGGTCGCTCGCTTTTGCAACACAATGGTTTATGCAACTGTGGCAAAATGCGCGCTATATGCATATTGAGTATAACTAATTATATCAATGTCTTGAAAAAAAAAATATATACGTCTTCGTTCTCGCCAAAGGAGTTGGTGGATGACATCTATTGATCGAAATAGAACGACGCATCCGTAACGAGCGCTCATATTGCCAGTCCTTTGACTCGCGCCTAAAAAGCCGACAAAACAGGGAGCGATGGGCATGACGTGCAGCATGAGGTGCGGCATGACGAGTATTGTGGCCACACTACGTCTCCGCCTCCTTGCCTCGCTACTTCCCATGCCAGTCGACGAGTGTGTGACGGAGGGATACATATACTTCACACATACTTTATAGACATAATCCATGGGAAGAGCAGAACAACCCAATACAAGCATTTTTACATGGGTGGTTCTAGTTCCTACATAATACTGTAACTAATCAATGTTAAAGAAATAAATTATTCTTAATTTTAATTTTAACTTCGTGTTTCTCCAACTTTGACCGAGGTCAACCGACGGATTCAACTCGGCTGGGCAGCGTTTGGGAGATTACGACACATCTTCTCGTCACGTACACCTCAAAACAACTTTGTACCACCAATGTGTGTTGCCATCAATGACATATCAGATATGGTCCTTCACTGTTGGCCGTAAGAAGAAGATCAAGGTCGCTCAGCGAACTATTAAGAGGGCTATGCTCGTAATGTCTTAGTTCGATAAACTTCGTAAATAAGGTTATCCGCAATAGAAGTAGCAATGGGACGATATGGCACGAAGAATCGACAATCGAAGGGGAAAATAGGTTCTCTAGGGGGGTCCCCACTACATGGAGTGATGACCTGGTAAGATATGTAGGAGGTCAATGGATGCAGATGGTTCAGGACCGTGGGTTTTTCACGGTGCTGAACCACCAAGGATTTGTTGTACAAGGATTAAGGGAAAATGGATTTACATGGATGGATTCACATTAATAATTATTGGATTTGTGACTGCAATCAATAGCATAGTTATTTAGGATTACATTTAAAAAAAAAACACTTAAAATTTAGAAATTCGTGGTCAAAGTATCTGAATAGGTAAATCTAGGATGTTGATTTTCAACATTTTCAGAAGTTAACCAAGTAACATGGAATTTTTATTTTTATTTTTTGCTAGAACTGGTACAACCTTCCTTATCGGCCCGTACCCCCTTGACGTTTAGTTTCGAGGTAACCTGTATGTATATACATATATACATATTACTTCGACTACATTGATGATGTTTTCATTTTATTTATATTGAAGTCGGAAATTTTTAATTTTACCACTTGTTTATATAAAGTTGTACATGTCGCTGTTATTTCGCCTTATGCCTCAACCATACGGTGAAGTAACTTATTACTAGTTACCTTTCAGCACAAGCACTTCGACTATTACTCGAGGCCGCTCTCGTTCAGCAGCGTCGCGCACCCCGCCGACACCGTGCTCTCCAGGTGCAATGTCGGATTGATGGTGTTCTCTACACTGCAGGTAAGTATTGTGTCCGAAATAGATTTTGTTTAAGGAATAAGGGTGACAAGCGAGCACACAGTCCACCCGATGGTAAGTGGATGCTGTGGCCCATAGACATCTACACTTATTCTCATTTAATGACGGCTAATAATTTTCTGCTCACCAGATGTCGCTAATTGACACTGAGGTAAAGTTTTTTGTTACACAATGTACTTTAATTGAGAAGTTGTTTTTAATAAAAATTTATCAGTTTCTAGAGTATTATATTATTACACAAAACAATACGTTACTGGTTTGCTTTTTAATTTTTTGCACATTTCTAAGTTCTTTTTTAATTTTTCTACTTTTATGAATATCTGTGGTTTGGATTATTTATTTTTAATGTTATTAATATAAAATATAGCTTATAGTACAAAAAGAAACATTACCTTTTACATTTTCCGAACAAATTAACTTCCCCACTATGAAATCTGTCAAATATTATACCTCACTTTCTAGTGGTGCCGCCCTGGTGGCAGAAAAAGTCGTGGATGCCCTCATTCACACATATAAGTATGCGTACATACATACACACATACATACTGGGCAAGCTACTAAAAGCGTTTTAATTATGATAGAAAACGAATGAAATTTTCAGAAATTTTGTATATTTTTTTTAATATACTTATTATTTTTATTGTCTATCATTTTCTTACACCGTCATCCGATTCTGAGCTGTATTAAAAATTTTAAGCCTTAACTTATCAATAGTCACGTGGTAGACCCACACCTTTTTAGGTTAAAAAAAATCAATGACAATTTCTTTCATATTTATTATTATGAAATTTTCGATTAAAAACATAATCCAAGCTTTTCGGATAAAATATAGCCTATATCTCTTCTGGCATAGCTATCTATCTATGTGCTCTTAAAGTTTAATTTCCATCGGTTCATTTCGATTACTAGCCCAGACAGATAGACAGACAAAAAATTAAGAAATGGTTTCATCTTTTCATCATTCTCATGTCTATATATATATATATATATATATATATGTATATATATATATATATATATATATATACACATATATATATATATATATGTATATATATACACATATATATATATATATATGTATATAACCAATTATTTAGATATGTATAAATTATTATTACTATACCCATTTGTGCTTCAACTATCAAGTTGCTCATATGACTTATGAAGTTATTAATTTTAGCGTATTTCTTTCAGCACATATCAGTCGATTATGACCACATAAGCACGGAAGCCTTAGAAACGTTATCCCACCTCACATTGTTCAAGAATCTCACACTCAATATCGCGCGAAGAAGGAAGTTGCTCCTGGAGCCTATCGATTGGCATCGATTAAACGCCTTCTATCCGAACGGACTTGACGTCTCCGTTAACATTGTAAGTTTAATTGCTTAGTTCTTAAGGTGCATTTTGTATAGAATAAAGGTAACAAACGAGCACACAGTCCACCTGATGGTAAGTGGATGCTGTGGCCCATAGACATCTACATTTATCCTCGATTAAGAATCAAAATGCAGATGCGTTTGATTATTAATTGACAGACCCCTGAGGACTGAGATGGAATGCTTCGATTCCAGTAAAAACGGTCCCCGGTTCTCTACACTCACTGCTTATTAAGCTGCTATTTTACGCTGGTATTCTGTAAGAGCGTGGTCCCACCCCGATCGAGCCGATCCATTCGTGCTACAATCACAACATAGCTGCAGCATGGCTCTACCGCCTTTTTTTAACCGCTAGCATTTTCTTTTAACCTCGCTTTATTCCGAAGCTTAACATTAGTTAACGATCATAAAATATATACCATATTTTAATGCTAGTAATAATATTTTTATTTTTAATGAAATAATATAAATAGTCGTTGATATGATGATTTTGTAGCCCTAAAATTTTTATGCACAATATATACTACTCAATGCAAAGAAGAACTCACTTCACTTCGTTTTTGTAAATATGTATTGTTATGAAGCATACATATTTATGTATTGATTTATAAAAGGATTCGAGTGTTTAATTTATTGGTTTTCTTAAGTGGTTTTGCGATAAACCAATGCACTCGTATTGCGCAGTCAAGTGTCATGTTTATTCCACTTTGTGTATAACTGTAATCGTTGTTCCTCACTCTTCCTTTGAGAAACTTTTTTGAAGCTTAGTTGAAATGGTTATCAAAAATATTTGTAGATTTTTATTTATTTATTTCAACAAAGTACATAACAGTTTTAATTACAATATAATTTATTCGTGCCATTAAACACAATTGTGTTTGTCTTGGCACTGCACAGTTTGCTCTAATATATTATTCTACATTATACTTTTACTTACATAATATTGAAATTAACCTTTACTTAACCTAAATATAAAATACCATTTTACAATTGTGTGAAAGAATATTAAACATTTTTTGTATTTACATTATTTTTAGGGTTCCGTACCTCAAAAGGAAAAAACGGAACCCTTATAGGATCACTTTGTTGTCCGGCTGTCTGTCTGTCTGTCTGTCAAGACCCTTTTTCTCAGGAACGCGTGGAGGTATCAAGCTGAAATTCATATTAAATACTCAAGTCTACTGTCCCTTAGAGCTGTGAAAAAATCAAACTTTTAAGCCAACGCAATCAAAAGGTGTTTGACAGCCGTTTATGCCGAAAATTTTCGACATTCGCAAGGGAATCAAAACCTATAGGGTACTTCCCGTGAACTCAAAATGTTGAAATTTGGTACGAAGCAACGTTTTATAGCACAGATAAAGGAAAAATTGCGTAAAACATAAATTTTTAGTTACATCGTATAATAAAAATATTTTTAATAATTTTAAACTTATATACCTACAGATTTGTTCGGAACCCTCGGTGCGCGAGTCCGACTCGCACTTTGCCGGTTTTTTTTTATAAACTTTATAGTAGATATTTCTTAAAATATATTTTTTTTGTGGAGAGGGTAGTTTGTGATATTGTTTACAAGAAACAGTGAAGCAAAAATGTGAATGTCTTCGATTGTTCGACTCGTCTATACACTATACTGCAAACTAATTACGCGCGTACACACGGAATTCATTTTTAAGGACTAGATTTCTTTTAAATGTTTAGTTAACAGTTTTAATGGCATAATTTTATTAGTATATTCTTTAAACAATAAAATAAAAACTATCTTTTCCATTATTATTATTATTATCACAAGCTTACTGCTGAACATAAAGAATGCCACAAAGCGCGGTCCTCAGCCACATCGTTTTATAACTGTAGTTCTATTTCTCTTTCAGATTGCTCTACCAGCTCAAAAGCTGAAAGATGTGATGGATAAGGTTCTAGTCGACGGATTGACGCTCACTTCGTTGAAAGTAATGTTTTGTAAAACGGTGAGTATTTTAGAGCACTTCAAAAGGAACAGTTTCTCAATTCAACTGTGTTCCATTTCTGCCGACTTCCAAAAAGGAGACGGTACTAAATTCGACTGTATGTTTTTCTTTATGAGTGTTACGTCATAACTTTTTACTGGGTAAACCGATTTCGATGATTCTTTTTTTACTTGAAAGCTGGTACTTCTCGTGTGGCCCAAATGATCAAGGTCAGACCAATAGTTTTTGAGTTATCCTTATTAACTTATATTGAAGTCGACAATACAAAATTTTAAATTTTGAATTATACTACTTGTATGCTACGCGATATCTTCTACAGTAAAACGGTCTTTATTATTCTTTTATTCGAAAAGTTATACTGCTTAAATGGAATTAAATAATTTCCACATAACACACCATCTGGCGATGAGGCTTTAATCCTCTTCGTCTCTAATTACGAATACATTTCATTATGATGAATAATTATGTAATAGTTTTAACTTACAATGTCTTCTGTTGGTGTTTTTATGGTCCTAATTAAATTAAACAAAATCCACCTGTTTACCTTATCTATCGAAAGGTTTAAAATATTTATTAATCGAAAATTGTTTACTAAGGGTTATTATACTACTAAAGTACATGATTAATAATAACCCCTGGGAATGAGCTGATCGCTACCATGCCGTTTCTAAATGTATTCATAAAAATTGTAAAAATTTTATATTGTAAGTTATGTTCTTTTTTTTTAAAAAAAAAAACGTCCCTTCCTGGGTCTCTTGCTGTTTCTTCTCAGGACAGAGTTTTTTAACCGAACCAGTGGTAAAAGTTAAAAATGACTTTCAATAAGAATTACATGTAATCGATCTATACAAATAAATAAAATTTAAGTGTCTGTTTGTAATATCAATATAACAGCTTTTTACTAAATCGATATGAAAGTATATACGGTACTTATACAAAAATACAATTTTTTAAATTTTTGTCTGTCTGTCTGTCTGTTTGTTCCGGCTTATCTCCGAAACGGCTGGACCGATTTCGACGGAACTTTCACTGGCAGATAGCTGATATTATAAGGATTAACTTAGGCTACATATATTTTAGAAAAAGAATTAGGGTTCCGCGCAACAGAATTAAAACCCTAAATTACACGCGGGCGAAGTTGCGAAGAACAGCTAGTATTGAATAAAAATGATTCTATTCTATTCTACTCTCCTCGAACGACATCCACGAGACGAAAGGGGGTGATGGATTCTTTTACGTCGCCACCAAACTCTCTTCCAAACAATTTTCTCTTTTAATCTTCTCTACTCTTCTCTACTGTTCACTCCTGATAATAATGTCCTCCAGACCGCACTTCGGTCACGGCCACCTGTCTCAACGGCGACTAGCCATCGACGCAGGACAGGATTACAGTTTCCAAGTGTACGCGCAAGCACAAGTGCACTCTATTCCCTCACTCAATCCTAAGCATAATATGGTAAATTTGCGTTTAAAACTGCAATTAATAATGCAACGAATTCATTGGTGCCGGCTGGGAACGAACTCTAGTTTCGCGCTTACTGTGAAATTTACAGGCTCTGTAAAATTTATGGCTCTATAAATTAGTTGTGACTTTTTTTTTTATAGGATCGGGTGACAAACGAGCACACAGTCCACCTGATGGTAAGTGGTTACTGTGACCCATAGACATCTACATCTATCCTCAATAAAGACTCAAGATGCAGATGCGTTTGTCACCCGTGAGGACTAAAATGGAATGCCTCTTTGCCAGTAAAAAGGGTCTCCGGTTCTCTACACTCACCATACGAAACACAGCAGCGTTAAGCTGCTATTTTACGCTGGTTTTCTGTGAGAGCGTGGTCCTTCCCCGGTCGAGCCGACCCATTCGTGCTACAACCTTAATATAGCTGCATCGTGGCTCTACCACGTAGAAAACTACATACATAAAATTTTACTTTACTAAAAACACGCGTATTAACTCCTACGAAAAGTTCGTTGGTATAGTGTACACACGACAAGCTAGCGATGCTAGATAGACATCTTATTTTTGGTACATTTTATCTAATTTACCGCAATAGCTATCATCAAATCTAAATATGTGCGTCCCTTTTTTACCGACTTCAAAAAGGAGGTACTCAATTCGACTGTATTTTTTTTAGTATTGTTTTTATGTGCTACCTCATAACTTTTTTCTAGGTGAACCGATTTTGATGATTCTTTTTTTTATTTGAAAGCTGGTGCTTCTCATGTGGTCCCATATAAATTGATCAAGGTGTGACCAGTAGTTTTTGAGTTATCCTTAATAATTAATATTGAAGTCGGTTGTACTAAATTTTTAATTTTACCACATGTGTTTACATTAAGTGCTCAATTTCATTTAATAGTTTGCTTGAGACGTGCCGAGGCAATAGAAATAGATTGGATTCAGAAGTGACTATAATTATTCTATCGCGGTTTAGGAGATTTTAGCATCTCTATACAATAAAAATAATATAAAACAAAGTCGCTTCCCGCCGTCTGTACGCTTAGATCTTTTAAACTACGCTACAGATTTTGATGCGGTTTCACAATAGAGATAATAATTCAAGATGAAGGTTTATATGTATAATACATGCATATTATCTTAATATATAAAATTCTCGTGTCGCGGTGTTTGTTACCAAACTCCTCCGAAACGGATGAACCGATTTGTATGAAATTTTGTGTGCATATCGTATAGGTCTGAGAATCGGCCAACATCTATTTTTCAAACCCCTAAATGATAAGGGTTACCCACGCCTAAATATTTTTTTTATTTTTTTGAGATTTTATTTTAATTTTAATTTTATTAAACCAATACAACGTGATAAGAGGACTGGTTCTTTTCTCGTTCAAAGGCTAAGTATAGCCATTCAGCGGGGAAACGCAGCCAGCGTTCTTGGCACGATACCGCGGAGAGTAGGACTATATGATAATTAAGTATCTAGTTTTAGTTTTCTTTATTATTATTATTATAGTTTTTAATATTGTATATTATTTTATTATGATTTAACATTGAAAAATACATAAAAATTTAAATTTTTACTCTTCTACGATCATAGATACCCCTGTATTTAATCGCGATTTTTAGAACTAAAAAATATTTCCTAGAAATAATGTATTTGGCAAAACAACGTTTGCCGGGTCAGCTAGTATATTATATAATTCTTCTGTCCGTGTGTATGTGACTAAACTCCTCCTAATCTAAACCATTCCTCTAATTAATCGAAGTTAATTAGAGGAATGGTTTAGATTCACAATTGACCCGGTAGGTGGCGTTGTTGTCGAGATCCAGAAATCAACCGTGCGAAGTCAGGGCGGATCGCTAGTTTGTACCATATTTTAACATGATAAAATACACTAATACAAGAGAGGCGCTTGCAGTTTTAAATTATACGATCTCTACCCGAAGCAAAAACACGCAGCGTGTCATACGAGTACGCGCTGTGTATTTTTCCTTCGGTTCGATTCCTTGACCGTACATCTTTTGTTTCAGTTCTACGCACCACTTCTGAGGCACATAGTGAGTCTTTATAAGTCGACGTTGCGCGAACTGGTATGGGTCGACTGCCCCGACGATTCTTCGGACACCCATAATAGAGTTATCAAAACCAGCCACGACGATGAGGTGACTAATTTAATTGCAATAGCTTAAGTGGTTTTTAAGTTTAAATCATTTGTTACTGTAGCTATTAAATAAAAGAAAGAAGAAGAAGAAAGAAAATAAGTTTATTTAGTAACACATTTTAACAATTTGCTTACAATAATAACATATTATAAATTTGATAAATGGTTACTAAAAAGGTACCCAACTCAGCATAGTCTTGGTACTGACAAAATGATTAAGCAATATTAAAGTAAATATTTAAAAGCTTCAATTATTCTCTCTGGGCTCGGTATGCAAGTTTCTACATCATTAACAATCGGTAGCTCATCCTCACAATTTAGTTTTAAAAATATTTTTTTTGTTTTATATCCCCCCGCTCCCGGGACCCTTTGTCAGCAAAAGTGAAAAGAAAATTAATCCCTCGCCCCTAAGCCTGCTACCTAATACGTATCTAATACTTGAACGCTACCTAGTATGTTTTAGGTGTTTTTATTTACAGTTATTGTGATTTACTGTCACAAAAACTTCATTTCAAAGGTTTTTTGTGTTGAACTGTGGATATATTGAAGATTACGTTTTATTTTATATTTAGAGGAGAATGTAAAACAAGAAAAAATTGAGCATACAATTTACAATACAATAGCCATTATACTTCAACTGTAATATCAAATTACTGTTTGCACCAAAGATCTAGAATAGTATTTAATGGAATAGAATCGAATTTGTTGGATATTTTACGATGTCGAATAAGTCACAATTATGTAAACTTATATGAAAATCCGTTAAGCCGTTTGTGCTTGATTGAGTAACAAAAATATCCAAAAATTTTCACATAATTTCACATAATATATTTTATTATTATAGATAAATTATGCGTGTTCAATATGTGTTTTTTTTTAATTTCCAGTATGACGTGTGCAACGTGAACCCCTTGATACTGATATGCTGGCTGTGTGCCCAACTTCAAAGGCTTGTTATACACGGTATGTATGTAGTGTCAAACTTTTTTCTAGATGAATCGATTTTGATGATTCTATTTTTATTTGAAAGCTGGTGCTTATAAATTATACATCCCATATAAATTCGATCAAGATCTGACCAGTAGTTTTGGAGTTATCCTTAATAATGCGTATTAATGTTGAAGTCGGTTGTACAAAATTTTTAATTTCATTAGTTGTCTCTCTTCCTCTCTTTTAAAAGAAATTTACCTTCACACTAGGATTTTCTCCTGTATCACAAGTACAGTTTACATACGTAGAACAGACCCAGAACAATTATTTGTGGGCCATACAAATACTTGTTCCATCCGGGATTCGAACCCGCGGCCCTTAGCGCTGCAACTCATTGCTAACCCACTGCGCCACGGAGCCGTCACTTGTTTGTTTCACATTTTTTGCTATTTACAAACAAAGCAATACACGGCAATGAGAAGTGCTGCTATATTCAATCTCTTTCTTTTATCGACCAAGTGGTAAACTGATAATTGCATTAATACTAGTACTGGGAGGTCTACTTACACTGAACGATTTTTAAGGTCATTGGCATTATACGCGAAAAAATCGAAAACTGCGAAGCTGTGGTCGGGTCGTTAATCAAATAATAAATTTGTAACTATGGCCCATCTTTGCATGGGATTGTTTATCTAGTTTTTTTTTATTTGTGATCGATACATGGCGTCAGTAAGTAAGTACCTAATTATCTAGATCTACCTATAATTAATAATATATTACCTTTCGGTACCTTTAGGTACAGTAACGAATGAAAAGTCGACATTCCTATTGTTATTTAAGCACCCGTATGCTATGCAGTACCTTTCGGCTTTTTAAGAGGCTACACTTGAATTAAAACTCAAAAATAAATATCAAAAGTGGCTAAATACTTATAATGCTTACAAGAGAAAAATACTTTTTTTTGTTAAAGCAAGGCGCGCGTCAGCTCGAGTGCGCGCGTGACAACCTCCCGGAATTAACCGCTTGTAGGGGACCACGCAGCGTAGGTATATTTCATGCCTAAAGCGCGGAGTAAGACAGGTCTGGTTATAGCGGCAATTTTGCTAAAGCAACATCTATCAAATTTGTTATAAATTAATCAGCAATCTATGGCAAATCATCATGGATGGTTATAGCGTAGAACAAGGCGTGCAAGTTATCAAATTTTATTATCAAAATCGTTCAAAGAAACGTTCCACGCTTTACGTGATTTTTATGCTTGCTACAACCTGCCCCCGAGTCAACTATTCGACATTTGGTGGTCAAATTCGAGTCATCCGGAGAAAAATGATCAGCTAACAACCCTACGTCACCGAAACGCAAGGGTCTGCTGATAACAACGCTGCAGTGCCCGATAATGTATTGAAAAATTCATTTCTCATTCTTCAGAAATAGTCATTTCCCGTCGTTCACAAGATTTTGGCTTTTTGGAATTTTGCAAATGTTGCGTCTGGACTTTGGTCTACGTCCGTATAAAATTCAACTAACCCTGGAACTTAAGGTAATCGACCGTAGACAACGCCGTGTGTTCGCTGCGTGGGCTCTGAAGTTAAACATGTAAAATTGTCGGTTTTGGGACGATACTAATCCACAAGAGATATACCAACTCCCGAATACATCCTGAAAAAGTCATTATTTGGTGCGGATTTTGGTCTGGCGGAATCATCGGTCCATATAAACTACATAAACTAGACCAACTATTATTTGACCTACCAAGAAAGCATAAACATCATCATCATCATCATTATAGCCCTTCACAAGTCCACTGCTGAACATAGGCCCCCCCAAAGAATGCCACAAAGCACGGTCCTGAGCCACCTGCATCTATCGACTTCCTGCATGTCTTACCAGGTCGTCACTCCATCTCGTGGGGGGACGCCCTACACTTCGCCTACCGGTACGAGGCTGCCACTCGAGAACCTTTCTTCCCCATCGGTTGTCGGTTCTTCGAGCTATATGGCCGGCCCACTGCCACTTCAGCTTACTAATCCGTTGGGCTATGTTGGTTATTCTGGTTCTACTGCGGATATCCTCATTCCTAAGTTTATCACGCAGAGAAACTCCGAGCATAGCCCTCTCCAAAGCTCGCTGAGCGACCTTGACCTTCCTCATACGGCCAGCAGTGAAGGACCACGTCTCAGTTCCGTAAGTCATCACTGGCAACACGCACTGGTTGTACAATTTCATTTTAAGGTTTTGAAGTACGTCTGACGAGAAGATGTGTCGTAGCTTCCCGAACGCTGCCCAGCCGAGTTGAATCCGTCGATTGACCTCTCGGTCGAAGTTAATAATAATAATAATAATAATAATAATAATTTATTTTATTTTCTCACCACAATACAGAATTATTGTACATAATATTATAGTATAGCCTCAATAATATACTGTGGGAGACTGGTGCCTAAGCTAGGCTTTACGCCTGTATTTCAGGACGCCAGGTCTCCGCCCTATGGTTCTAATTACAATACTTTTATTATGCACTCGTACATGTACCATATTTATAATTTACATAATATCTCCTTTCATTTACTTAGGATTCTACATATATTAACTAGTATTAGTGTGTGTGTGTGTGTGTGTGTGTGTGTGTGTGTGTGTGTGTGTGTGTGTGTGTGTGTGTGTGTGTGTGTGTGTGTGTGTGTGTGTGTGTGTGTGTGTGTGTGGGTGGGTGGGTGGGTGGGTGTGTGTGTGTGTGCGTGTGTGTGTGTGTGCATGCTTTTGTTTGTTAGTTTGTGACTGGGTTAGTAATTAACTTTTATTAGATTAGTAATTAGATAGAATTAGTAAGTAGTTGTTCAGTGTCATAATAATTTAGTTCTTGGAGCCAGATAGTTATTTTATTTTTGCATATAGTTTTGTTAAGGTTAAATATAGGGATAATTTTATTGATTTTATTGTATAAGAAACCTCCAAGGTGACAAAAGAAACGTTTAGATAATTTGGTGGATAGAGTTATATGATAGCGGTCCACGGGGTTAAAACGCCTTTTATCTCGGGAGAGTGAGGGGTTGTATTTTAATAAAGCATGTTGTTTTAGTAAGGTACTTTGTATAAACAGTTGCCGCACAGTTAAAATTTTCAACTCTTTATATAGGAGCTCTGTAGGATAGCGATACGGCAGTGAAAAAGAGACCTTTAAGATGGCTCTCTGCGTTCTCTCCAATTGAAGCATTTTAGTTTTTGGAGCACCGCCCCAGGAGGTAATACCATATGTTAACAGAGATTGGGCCAAGGCGAAGTAGACGGATTTCTTTAGTTTCTCGTCAGCCACATCTCTCAGAGTTTTAAAAACATATATAAGTTTACGCAACCTGCTATTAAGGGTATTAATGTGTTCATGAAAACGTAGAGTGCTATCAATTATTACTCCTAGATATTTTACTTTTTCAGCTTGACATAGTTTGATGCAGGTATCCGCGTTATTAAGTGAGTTGGAACATGAGTGACTTACGATAGAGTATGGTGGTGATAATGTTGTTAATGTGTTGTTTTTTAATCTAAATGCAACATAACATGTTTTATCTATGTTGAGTGTCAGCACATTACTTCGGAGCCAGTTAGAGACTGTGTTGTAGCCCAGCTGGGCGTACGTATAGACATCTTGCCATGAACCTGCGTTAAATAGGAGGACGGTATCATCTGCATAACTTATTATCCGCCCTTTAGGAAGAGTGAGCATACTCATTTCATTAATATATATTAGAAATAAGGTTGGAGAGAGTACACTGCCCTGAGGCGTACCATAGGTAATTGTGCGTTCAGTACTGATGAATTTATCCACCTGAACGCACTGAGTACGTCCACTCAAGTAGTCTTCAAAAAGTTGCAGTTGTATACCTCTAATTCCCAAACTCTCCATCTTACGTAAAAGTATGGGTACAGAAACCGTGTCGAAAGCTTTGGCGAGATCTAGAAATATGCCAAGAACCTTCTGCCCATTGTCCAAGTTTGTAACAATATAATTAGTAAGGTCATGAATCGCATCCGAGGTAGATTTACCTGACCTAAAACCATATTGTGAGGCCGAAAGAAAGTTATGTTTTTCCAAGTAGTTTACGAGCCTGTTGTTTATTATGCGTTCGAGTATTTTGGACAAGGCAGGCAGCACAGCTATAGGTCTATAATTATTGACATGGTCTCTGTCCCCACCCTTATAAATCGGGTGTATGATCGATTTTTTAAAAGCTTTAGGAAATTTTCCGGTTGTGAGAGCCAGATTGCAGATATATGTCAGGGGTGGGACAACTACATTAATATGCCTTTTAAGGAGATTAGAGGGTATTCCATCCCAACCCACAGCACAGTCATTACGGAGAGATAATATTAATCTTGCAACCTCGTCCTCATCCGTTGGTAACAATACCATGGAGTGCGAGTTGTTGTTATTGTTGTTGTTAAAACCTTTTTTTATTGACTCTGTAAGTCCATCCGATATCTTTTCCGCGAGATTTTTACCTATATTAGCGAAAAATTCATTAACTGAATTAACAGATAGTTCCGGAGTGGATGATGTGGTTAATAAGTGATAGGATGAATTTTCTTTCTTTTTTGCCCTATTTGTTATGTTATTTATTGCTCCCCAGAGTTTTTTAGGATTATTACTAGTCTTTTTTAATTCATTTTTTTCATATTCCAATTTAATTTTTTTTAACAACTTATTACAATAATTTCTGTACCTAGTAAAAGATGTTTTTAATACTTCATTGTCTGGCGACTTTTTTAATTTTTTGTGCATATTGTCTCTGTGTCGGATACAGCGTAAGAGACCTGGAGTGATCCATGGCTTAATGATTTTTTTACGGTTTGGTACTTTCACGGTTTTTGTGTTTTTTTGGACCGCTTGTTTGATAAGACTTACCTAGTCGGACTATTTGTCCCAGGTAAACATACTCGTCAACAACTTCGAGCTTAGTGCTCCCAACAACTACCGGCATAGGTGTGACATGGCCATTAAACATGATCTTTGTTTTGTCTATGTTCATCTTAAGACCTAT